ACACGTGCATCTACAACAGTTTGCTTTTAAACTTAGGCATTTCCCAGCTTTCTCTGCTGTACAAAATGGTGCAGTGAATACCTCCTTATTCATGTGTGCTGGTTTCCCAAGAGAAAGCAATGAGAAATGGTGGTTTCTTCATCCAGGTGTGCCCCTCTTCCCCCATGTCAGGCACTGTCAGATCGCTCTTCCGAGGCTGTACTGACCTAAACTCCCATTAGCAGCGGACGAGTGTATGTTTCTACACGTCCTGACCACAGTTGATACCGCTGGACTTAAATTTCTGCCAGTCTAATGAATGTAAAATGATGATGTCTCATTTTATAAGTGCATTTTTGAATACTAGTAAGGTAACTTTCTGTTTTTGTTGTTTTTTCATGAATTTTGTTAGAATTAAATTTTCTAATTAGTTATTGCCAGCACATAGGAGGAATGCTGCTGAGATTTTTAAGTTGTTTTTGAATCTAGTAACCTTTCTGACCTATCTGATTTGTTCTAATATCCCACAGATTCTATTAGTTTTCTATGCAGAATATTGTACTAACTGCAAATAATAGATATTTTGTCTCTTCCAGCCCCAGTACTTTATTTTTTCCCTTGATCTTGTGTAACCATGGATTAAGAATTTGAATGGAAAATTGAATCTTTGCGAAGCTTTCCACATTTCATCAGCTGTTAAGTTCTGGAGGGAAGTTTGATACAATTATTTACTACTAAGTGTATTCCCAAATATCAAGGCTAAGCTTTTTAAAAAAATGTTTTTATTGATTTTGGAGAGAGGAAGGGAGAGGGGAAGAGTGAGAGGGAAACATCAATGATGAAAGAGGATCATCCATCATCTGCCTCTTGCATGGCCCCTACTGGGGACCGAATCTGCAACCCAGGCATGTGCCCTGACCGGGAATCGAAATGAGACCTCCTGGATCATGGGTCCACACTCAAACACAGAGCCGCCCCTACCGGGCAAGGCGAAGCTCTTATTAAAATAGTATATCAAAAGCCTTTAACATTTTCATATAGTGCTGTTTGATTACTGTACTTTTTGTGATAGATATTAGCTGGCATCCTCCTAGTTTTTCTTTTAATGGGAAGTCAATTCTTTTTCTTCTGTAACAAAACAAGAAGTATTTTAAGTTTATCTGATGTAGAGTGTTATTAAAATGTGAAGGAGCATACTGGCTGTCCTGGCCGATTTGGCTCAGTGGATAGAGCATCGGCCTCTGGACTGAAGGGACCAGATTTGATTCAGGTCAAGGACGTATGCCTTGGTTTCACGCTCAAGCTTGCAGGCTCGAGCATATGGGAGGCAGCCAATCGATGTGTGTCTCTCTCACACTGATGTTTCTCTCTCTGTCTCTCCCCTCTCATTTGCTCTCTCTGAAAAACAAACAAACAAACAAAAAAAACCAGCAATGTAAAAATATCCTCCGGTGAGGATTAACAAAAACAAAACCAAAAAAGAGCATACAGGCAATTTTTTCCCAGTTAATTCTCCTCTCTTGTATTATGTTTTTAATTTTGTCTCCTTCTGTTTTGTATTTTAAAATTTTGGGACCTACTGATATATACTTCAGGTGCATTTCACTGTCTTGTGGGATTTTTTTTCAGATGGAACTGAGAAATGGAGTGGTGTAGCTTCTGTCAGCACTAAAAGCAGAGCAGTTAAGTCCCCTGTGCCCTCCTGAAAAGAATACCCGAACATAGAACCGGTCCTATAGTACTTTACATGCTCTTTGATAGCGTCTTTTTTGGGAATACCCTCTATCCTCCCTAAATATTATGCAGAAATATTTACTGCATATATATAGGGATTATATTACCCTTTCTTAATTATTTATGTTTTTAAAATTTTTTTATTTTTAAAAAAATCTTTATTGTTGAGAGTATTACAGATGTCTCCCCTTTAACCCCCTGTTGCCCGCCTCCACCTGGTTCCTGTCACCCCCCTAGGTCTTCACCACCCTATTGCCTGTGTCCATAGGTAATGCATATACGAATAGAAGATCTTTAGTTAATCTCTTCCGCCCTCCTTCCCTCTGAGATTTGTCAGTCTGTTCCATGTTTCCATGCCTCTGGTTCTATTTATTCATCAGTTGATTTTGTTCATTAGATTCCTTGTTCATTTATTTTGATTTTTAGATTCAGTTGTTGATAGATATGTATTTATTGCCATTTTATTGTACACATTTTTCTTTTTTCCCTCATCCTTCTCCTCTCCCTCCTCCTCTTCCTTTCTTCTTCTTCTCCTCCTCCTCCTCCTCCTCCTCCTCCTCCTTCTTCCTCTTCCTCTTCCTCCTCCCCTCCTCCTCCTCCTCCTCCTCCTCCTCCCCCCCTTCTCCACTCCCTCCCCCTCCCCATCCTCCTTCTCTTCCTCTTCTTAAAGAATACCCCTTAACATTTCATGTAATACAGGTTTGGTGATGATGAACTCCTTTAGCTTTTTCTTGTCTGTGAAGCTCTTTATCTGACCTTCAATTCTAAATGATAGCTTTGCTGGGTAGAGTAATTTTGATTGTAGGTCCTTGCTATTCATCACTTTGAGTATTTCTTGCCACTCCCTTCTGGCCTGCAAAGTTTCTGTTGAGAAATCAACTGACTGTCGCATGGATGCTCCCTTGTAGGTAACTAACTGTGTTTCTCTTGCTGCTTTTAAGATGATCTCTTTGTCCTTAATCCTTGGCATTTTAATTATGCTGTGTCTTGGTGTGGACCTCTTTGGGTTCCGCTTGTTTGGGGTTCTCTGTGCTTCCTGGACTTGTAAGTCTATTTCTTTCACCAGGTAGGGGAAGTTGTCTGTCATTATTTCTTTAAATAGGTTTTCAATATCTAGCTCTACCTCTTCTCCTTCAGGAACCCCCATAATGCAAATGTTGGTCTGCTTGAAGTTGTCCCAGAGGCTCCTTACACTGTCTTCATATTTTTGGATTCTTTTTTATTTTTGTTCTTCTGATTGGGTGTTTTTTTGCTTCCTCATATTCCAAATCATTGATTTGATTTTCGGAATCCTCTATTCTACTGTTGAATCCCTGTAAATTATTCTTTGAATTAGTCTTTATTTCAAGTAGTATATGCTTAATTTCTGACTGGTCCCTTTTCATGTCTTTGATGTTCTCACTAAGGTTCTTGAAATTCTCACTAAGATCCTTGAAATTCTCACCAAGATCCTTGAAGCCTTCATTAAGATCCTTGAGTAACCTTATAACCATGGTTTTGAACTCTGTATCTCGTAGTTTGCTTGCTTCTGTTTCATTTAGTTCTTTTTCGAGATTTCTTCTGTTTTTCCATTTGTGACATGTTTCTTTGTCTCTGCATTTTGGCCACTTCCCTGTGTTTGTTTCTATGTATTAGGTAGAGCTGCTATGTCTCCTGGAATTGGTGGAGTGGCTTTGTGTAGTTGGTGTCTTATAGCGTCCAGTAGCTCAGCCTCCCCAGTCACCTGAGCTGGGCACTCTAGGTGGGCCCTTGTGTGGGCTGTGTGCACAGTCTTCTTGTCGTTGAGCCTTGATTGCTGTTGGCATCACTGGGAGGAATTGACCTTCAGGCCAATTGGCTGTGAGAACCAGCTGTGACTATACTGGAAGAGCTACTGTGCAGGAGACGCTCCTGTGAAGCAGGACTTGCTTCACTGGGGCTTTGGTGCTCACTGAGTCTGTCCCTTGAATGTGGATGTGTTGCTTGTGGATGTGTCGCGTTGTAATCTGGTATGGTCTGAAGCTGTTCACCGGGTGCACTGCCTCTGGGAGGTGCAAAGTCAGTGACTGCCTGGAGCAGTGATGGCGAACCTATGACACGCGTGTCAGAGGTGACACACGAACTCATTTTTTTGGTTGATTTTTCTTTGTTAAATGGCATTTAAATATATAAGATAAATATCAAAAATATAAGTCTTTGTTTTACTATAGTTGCAAATATCAAAAAATTTCTATATGTGACACGGCACCAGAGTTAAGTTAGGGTTTTTCAAAATGCTGGCATGCCGAGCTCAAAAGGTTCGCCATCACTGGCCTAGAGCCACTCAGCAGGAGCTACAGAACGATCTGCAGGTGGCTGCTACTTGTATTGGGCTTGCAAGTGACCAGGTGAGGCCCAGGTGTGAAGCAAGGCAGGCTGGTACTAGTGCGGAGTGTTGGGCCACTTATTGGTAGTATGGGGCAGGCTGACACCAGCTGCTGCTTGTTTTAGAGATTTTAGGAAAGTCTCAAGCCTGACCCAGGAGAGCCCATTCATATGGATAAGCTGCTGCAAACATCTTGGGTAGGGCTGCAAATTGGATGGGGTGGGGTCTCAGGGAATCACCAGAAACTGGTGAACAGTGTGAGCCAAGCTGATGGAAACTTAGATATGGCTTCCAGTTAGCTCTGGGACAGGGGAAGGTACCAGCACAGGAACAATGACCCCTGCAAGCACCCCCATCTGGGAGAAAGCCACCCCCTGAGTTCCTGCCCCAATGCCAGAGAGTCTAGTACCTTCCCATATTTCCCTGGTTCCGCCAATGCCGATGCCCAGTGCTGGAGCTCAGAGAAAGTGGACTGTGTAAGTCTGTGTGCCGTTAAGAGGAACACCTGTGTCTCCTTAGCCATAATCCCCGCTGGTTTTTACAGCCTGAAGTTATGAGGACTTCTCTTCCCAGTTCTGGAACCTGGATTGAGGGTCTGGTATAGGGCTGGGATCTCTTGCTCTTCACGGGAGGCCTCTGCAGCCACACTACCTCTCCCGATTAAAAAAATGGGGCGTCGGACCAGACCAATTCTGCATCTTTGCCCTCCAGCCTCAGTGTGCTTTCTTCCTTACTTTTCTAGTTGTAGGACTTCCATTCAGCCAGATTTCAGGTGGTTCTGAATGATGGTTCTGTATTTTAGTTGTAATTTTGATTGTGGGAGGCAACAAGTACCAATGTTTACCTACCCTGCCATCTTGGTTCTCCCCCTAAATTTGGAACCCCTTTCTTAATTATTTAAATAAATGTGGATAGTGATGGAAATATTTGTGCTTTTTTTAAGGTATTGCCATCAGAGAGTCGGCAAAGGTAGTTGACCAAGCACAAAGGAAGGTGTTGAGGGGCGTGGATGACCTGGACTTTTTCATTGGGGATGAAGCCATCGATAAACCCACATACGCCACCAAGGTGAGCCCAGACGGGAATGGCTTTAGGGAGTAGCCAGGACGAGCTGCAGAATGAACCACGCAGAAGGGCAGGTTATCTAGAAAGTGTGCTTGTGAGTTGAATGTGTTTTTATCCTTACGTTTGCAAAGAGGTTTTGTTATTTTGGATGTGGGGAAGCGGGTGGATTTTCAGAGCCCTGGGTCGCAATCTGGACTCAGGATTGCATGTGAAGGCAGGTTCTGCTGAGATGGAAAATCCCAGGTTGACTAAATGACCTGTCAGATATGGAAAGTTGCAGATTGATTAATTAAAGAGAAGCACTAAAATTATTTAATTAGACGTTTGTTCTAAAAAACCCCAAAAAACAAAACCTCCCAGTCGAATGGTATGGTGGATTAGCTGCACTTTGCACCTGCCACTCCACTGTTAAGACGTTCTTTGTCGTTGGAAATGGGTGGAGTTAGAGTATAAACAATTACATAACAGTCTTTCTGTTAAGGTGTCTGTCTTTTCTCTATGGGACTAACATTCACTTCATGCAAAGGGGACCTTGATTCTGTAGTTGCTCAGTCTCCCCCAGCCTTGTCGTTAGAATTGCTCTCACTGATGTGAACCGAGGCTTGACATGCTTGGTTTCTCTTGGGTTAGTGGCCAATAAGACACGGAATAATCGAAGACTGGGATCTTATGGAAAGGTTCATGGAACATGTGATTTTTAAATATCTTCGAGCTGAACCTGAGGATCATTATTTCCTAATGGTGAGTAACTGGAACTAAGAGGGATAATTCCCAAGTGCTTGCATTTAACCAGTTAATGGCCATGCCTCCAAAACAGAAACCATCCCCACACACCACGGTATTTTGAATTTAACTAATAAACGTCTGCTGCTTGCGTCTGTACGACACTCATGGCGTACAAATGGTTAAACTCAAGATAGTCTTCCCTGGGGAGTCTTTATTTCTGCTAAAGCCACTTATATGAATCAGGGTGCTCTTTTGGGCAAATAATGGAAGGGTCAGCAAAAATGTCTAATGCCAGAAAGGGCTCATTTTCTCACTAAACAGGCAGCCTAGAGTCGGGTGGTTCCAGGGCAGATCATCTCAGCCGCTCAGTGACAGAAGCGAGGGCCGACCCAGTGCGCCAGCTGGGCCTCCTGTGTGGTTCCCCTGAGGCCCAGCCTGCCAGGTTCCCATGTCTTGGTATCTGTACTTTCACAGAGAGGCTCACCTTTTAAGATTCCCAGAAACCTTTCCAGCAGATTGGCCCACCATCCATTCCAACCTGGGGATGGAATTACCTTGACAGGTTTAGAGTAATCAGGATTCTCTCCCTGGGGCTGGGAGAGGACCCTCTCTGATCACCTGGCCTGGGAGGGTAGGGACCTAAACAGGCCTCCAACAGCCTGGGAGGTGGAGGGAGGGATTGGTTGGGTAAGGAAACAGTTAGCTGTGTACTTAGATAGCCCCGTGAAGTAACTGGGTGGCTGTGATTTTTTGCTTCTTACAACAGAGGAAACCGAGGCAAGATGTTATTTTGCTGTGGTTTAAGTCTTACTGCAAAATAAAATTGAGTAGGGTTATGGGCCCTGATTATGCCACTTAATCTTATTCAAACAAAATAAACAATTACAGAGAAATGAGAAGAATTATGTCTTGATTATGGATTCTGTTCTAATTGTTATACTCAATATTATGTGTTTTCTTCCATGATATATTCTTTTTAAGTTAAAATTAATTACATGTACAAAACTCATGCTTTATAGAGAGCAATTGCATGTAACATAAGCTGCCTATTAAAACCTACATCATTTGGCTGCCCAGGCTGAGCACTGTGCTTTCCAGGCTGCCGTGTGTCCCTCCCGTGTCCCTCCAATGGTTCCTGTAAAGTAAATGGAGCCAGGAAGTGACAGTGTGTCTGAGTGGCTTTGTCTTTGTAGCCAAAACAAATCATAGACTCCCACCTGTCAGGTTTGGCACTTTTCCTTCTCTAGTGCATCACATGGCTACCTGTTGGACAGGATTTTAGGAGCGGGCACCATGCCCATCTGCTTCCTTCTGTCTGCTCTGCTCATGTGCCAGGAGTTGTCCCTCTTACTCCATCTTGAGGGACATCATCCACTAGGCCTGTGGAGCAGATGCACAGGAAGTGTCTCCTAATTCTTTTTTTTTTTCTGGTTTAGCTGGCGTATGTAGGCCAGTAGCTAAAATCACTTGCCAGGAAAGAATTGGAAGTGTTTGGTGTGAATGTGGAAAAGCTAAAGTCCATTTGCTAAAAATGAACATCTGCGGTGAATGTTCAAAAATAATCAAGTTTATTAAAGATAAGAAAATACTGAGTTATATATGTTGCGTTTTGGATTCTGCAGGTTGGTTCAATGCGTGGTGTGATTGAGGGAGTGTGGAGACGTACATTTCTTTTTTTTTTTTTTAAATATATTTTATTGATTTTTTACAGAGAAGAAAGGAGAGGAATAGAGAGTTAGAAACATCGATGAGAGAGAAATATCAATATGCTGCCTCCTGCACACCCCCTACTGGGGATGTGCCGGCAACCCTGGTACATGCCCTTGACCGGAATCGAACCTGGGACCCTTCAGTCCGCAGGCCGACGCTCTATCCACTGAGCCAAACCGATTTCGGCAAGAGACATACATTTCTCTCAGGTGTCTGCCCTTATCACCGGCTACTGCAGCAGTGACAGGAGTAAAGCGGTGTAGAGATTTACAGCCGAGTCATTGAAGTTCATTGAAGATATTTACTAAACTGCTGCGTCAGATGAGGGCTTCTCCATATGAGTCTGAGTTCTAAATTCTGTGCCCCTCACAGCCACAGGGTGTCCGTTCTGACTGCTGTGACAGACATCAGAGCAAATGGGGTGCTCCTCATGCCTCACATTTTTCACACAGTCCAGAGACTCAGCTCACATTGGTTGTGTGGACTGAGCAGAGCAAATGGGAACCACTCTGCCACTGGATTGCCCACGTCTAAACCAGAATAACGGATTTCAGAGAATTGTGGGGCTGGGGAACAGAAATTGAGTTTTATTTTTCTTTATTTTTTCCATCACCATTTATTCCCTCTATGCCCACTTCCCCCCACCCCCCGCCCAATCACCACACTGTTGTCCATGTCTTCTCTCTTTTTTTCTTTTGTTTTGCTCGATCTCCCCCCCCCCCCCCCCCAATTTAGAAATTGAGTTTTAACTTCAAAAGAGATTTGGAAATTTTGACTATGAGTCGAGCAAGAAAGAAGAAGAAAGAGAGGGAATATCAGCCTTCTTCCATCTTTTTGTTCCAGTCGGTCCTTGGTGAGTTGGGGGCTGATGCCGCCCGTGTGAAGGGACAGCTCTTCACTAGGTTTGCTGGATGCTCTGCTCACCAGATGCACCCCAGACGCACCCAGGACCAACGTTCTGCTAGTTATGTGGGCACATCCGGTGCCGTCAGGTGCACAGCACAATGGACCTTCCATGCATTGTGTCCTGATGTAGGGATGGTCCTTCGCTGCTTCTCGAGAGGGTGCAGCCCTGCTCGGTCTAGTTGCGGCCAGCGAGCCAAGGCTACTTCTTGGGTTTGCTCAGTTAGTTTCTGGTGGCCTGCGTGCTTTCCAGCCTCTAGGGCAGTGGTCCTCAACCTTCCTAATGCCGCGACCCTTTAATACAGTTCCTCAGGTTGTGGTGACCCCCAACCATAAAATTATTTTCGTTGCTACTTCATAACTGTAATTTTGCTACTGTTATGAATCATAATGTAAATATCTGATATGCAGGATGTATTTTCATGGTTACAAATTGAACATAATTAAAGCATAGTGATTAATCACAAAACAATATGTAATTATATATGTGTTTTTCGATGGTCTTAGGCGACCCCTGTGAAAGGGTCGTTTGACCCTCAAAAGGGTCGCGACCCACAGGTTGAGAACCGCTGCTTGAGTGTGTTGTCATCTCCTCCCTGTCTTCCCTTCCTTGAGGATTTATAGTTTTGTTTTTTTTTAAATACATTTTTATTGATTTCAGAGAGGAAGGGAGAGGGATAGAGAGATAGAAACATCAATGATGAGAGAGAATCATTGACCGGCTGCCTCCTGCACACCCCACACTGGGGATCGGGCCTGCAACCTGGGCATGTGCTTTGACTGGGAATCAAATCATGACCTCCTGGTTCATGGGCCAACACTCAACCACTGAGCCATGCCGGTCGGGCAAGGATGTATGGTTGTTTTTTCTTTCTACCATGTGGGGCATGATCATATCATCCTATATAATAAAAGCTTAATATGCAGATCGACTGAATGGTGGAACGACCAGTGGAACAACTGGTTGCTATGATGCACACTGACCACCGGGGGGCAGACGCTAAATGCAGGAGGTGCCCCCAGCCCGCAGGCCCCAGGCCAGCCAAGGTGGGTGCCAGCGGGGGCCCCCTGATCGCCCTGTCCATTACTCCACAGAGGGAGGCAACTGGCGGCAGTGGCGCGATTGGGGGGCAGCGAGCAGGCTGGCAATGCCCCAATTGCCTCCTGCAGAGGGTTGTGATTGGCGATGGTGGGGGGGGGGGGCAGCAAGTGGGTGGCGACAGGCCGGCCAAGGTGGGTGACAGTGGAGGCCCCCTGATCGCCCTGCTAGTTGCCCCACAGATCAGCTCTGATCTCCGGCCAGGCCTAGGGACCCTACCCATGCATGAATTTTGTGCACCAGGCGTCTAGTATATTCATAAAGCTTTCCCAATTACAAAGCACTTCTCCTTTTTATTTTAATTCTTTATTGTTGAAAGTATTACATATGTCCCCCTTTTTCCTCCATTGATCCTCTCCAGCTCGCCCCTCACCCCTCCTCCACCCCAAGGCCTATAGTTTTTAAAAAGGTTTCTTTGCTGCAGTTACAAAGGAGATTGAGGTGGGGCAGTATTAGGTCCATGTGTACATTTTGCTGGCTTAACCCAGAACTATGGATTGGTTTTTATGACAGTGACTCATTATTCATTTTAGAATCAATACCAGATGATATTCTACCATTATTTTAAAAAAGTGTATATTTTTATTGATTTCAGAGAGGAAGGGAGAGGGAGATAGAAACATGATGCGAGAGAATCATTGATTGGCTGCCTCTTGCATGCCCCCTACTGGGGATTGAGCTGCAACCTGGGCATGTACCCTTTATTGGAATCGAACCTGGGACCCTTCAGTCCGCAAGCTGACACTCTATCCACGGAGTCAAACCAGCAAGGGCTATTTTACCATTCTTATGAATAAAAATGTTTATGCAGCTTGCGTTCCTGTGATGTTTTAATATGTTTGAAAACATGATACCTGCAATTTAGAGTTTGTCATAAATAATGGTTTAGGGAAGTTTTATTTAAGTTGGTATCCTAAAAGAACAATTACTGGTAGTAAACATAGAAGAAGTGGAGGATTGAGGAAGAAATGGATTTATGATTAAAGTTCTCAGAACCCATGAAGATATGCCCTTAATAATGCTGATTTTGATTCAAGAAGCAGGGTAGCCTAATTATATTGTAAGCATTCCTTAAATGGAAGTATATGGATTTTAATGTAGAATCTCCACAGATGGTGAGTGTTTTGGTAGCAAGTAATAGAAGTATAAAGAATAGTAGTTTTGCCCTAGCCGGCTTGGCTCAGTGGATAGAGCGTCGGCCTGTGGACTCAAGGGTTGCGGGTTTGATTACGGTCAAGGGCATATGCCTGGGTTGCGGGCTCGATCCCCAGTTGGGGGTGTGCAGGAGGCAGCCAATCAATGA